ACCAATCATTTCTCACTGGGTATATAAATGCAAATTTACTTGCGGAATTGCGGAAACAAATAAAAATGGCGATCTATCCTCGCTGAAGCGGTTATACATAAGTCTGCGGAGATGTTTTTTCGGGCAAGGAAACATAAATAAATTCAATGTGCATTTGACTGTGGAATACGGAACTTCTTTAAATCGGAAATTGTTGTATTTGGTAACCGATCAAGCGACATTTTCTTTGTTTAAGTGCGCATTTTTCGCTGGAGAACTTCTTGTATTAGAGGGCTTGGTATGCTTTCTAGTAACGAAACAGTGTTACACAGTTCAGGCTTCTTTTTCTTCAAGTTATTTATCATCTACAGTATTTACTATTATCTAAATAAAATTATAAAGATTATTATCTAGATAAAATTTTGTTATTTTACCTTTCGATAATAAATATATATAATATCTATATCTGCATCTTAGATGAAAAAATTAAGTGTTATCATTACTAAATTACTTAGAATAATGTTCAGATAATTTGATTGAGAGTCATAGCCAGTGTTTGCTGATCTTTAAATAAAATTGAAAAAGTGATCTGGATGAAATTTTGACGTCATTTTATCTTTATATAGATAATAAAATATGTTTATTTTACAGCAGCATTTTATTTTAAAAAAATGTTATTTTCATTAAATTATTTAGAATATATATTGTTCAGATAATTTTAGATTTAAAGTCATTTTACTTAAAGATAACTGTTAAGTAATAAAGCTTAAGTGGTAAACGATAACAATTTATAAATAAAATATGAATATGTTATTATATGTATACATTTTATAATTTACATTTTTTTTTAATTGTGTTTACATAAACGGTGCTAAAAAATCTTATTTGAAATTTATCTAAATAAATCGCCACATAATATTATCTTTTATCAAGATATATTTCAAATAAAATTATCATCATTTTACAATTAGATAAATTTACATATATTTACCTTAGTTATATCTATTTAATTTTAAACTCATTTAAACATAGCAATGACCATCTGGTAAATAAAAGTCTTACCTGTGTGGTTACCAAAGACAGGTCGATTTAGTATTAGAAGAGTTAGAATGCATCTCAGAATAGAGATAAAACATAGGTTTACGTTGAACATTTTTATCTCTATTCACGGATGGCAATATTGTAACACAATCTCGTCTAGTAGAATTTGGCGAGGTCAACGATCTGTAATTAAAAATTGCAGAAGATACTTTTACCATAAAGAGATAGTAAGAAAATGTAATAGTAGATAGTAAAAATGCAAAAATATAAACTCTTGTGTATATAGCTAATAGACAAATAATAAAAAGTTCAAGATAATGAACAAATTTAAATATATTACATCTTTTATATAAGTAATTCCAAGTAAACTCACTATATACCATGGTATGTTGTTGATATAATGTGGTTCTAATTAAACTACGGAAAAGACGAGGCGGATAGTGATACGCAGTGACGTCGCAAAGAAATTGAAAAGTAATGTTCGTTATAAATTTGCTGTATGGGAATTATCTGCCATACAGCAGGTCTGTTACGGTCATTTATATGGTACTGAAAATGTGCGAGAGTCTCGAAACAGCTATCAGTATTATTGTATCGTTATATTTACATTTATTTTCATGTACGTCTGTGTATTGGTGTGTGTCTCCTTCGTCTTGTGTTTATTATAATCCTGCTTACCTGAGTACGTATATGTGTGTCTACGGACATGTATGTCTTTATTTTAAAATGTTTATTTAATTATGTTTGTTGTTTTTTCATTATTCGTATTGTATAATTAAAAAATAATATTTTATTCAAATTTATATCATCTTATACCATTTACATTGCAAACATACATTCAAGTAATATCTTTCAATTTTAGCGTGAATAAGTGTCTCATATTAGAAAATGGAAAAAATATTGTTTTGCCACGGATTTTATTTTTTTTAACTTTTATGCAAAACAAATAAAATTTTTTTTACATATTGTACACGTCGATCATTTTAAACATATGGATTATTATAAAGAAATTATATTGTCAGGAAATCTGTGATTTTTGGTGCCGCTTGGGGTATAAGAAGACACATAATTTCATTCTCTATAATTTTTTAAAATACTTTATGTAACTTTTTTTCGGATTTTAAACAAGAAAAAGGATACTCGCGAATTTTGTTGATTTCACTTATTTGTAAAAAGTCTACGAGTTAGAAAAAATTTTAAAAATACTCAAAGAATCATAGGATTCTAATATAGTTTTTTATATATTTAAATTATCTTTATATATAAAATATATATTACATATTTTAGTAAAATTAATTTATATTTTATTGTGGTAGATATTAATATTTTTTATTGTGATATAAATATATATTTAATAAATATATTCTTTAATCAAAAAAATTTTTATAATATTCTTAAAATATCATTTTGTACAATTAATTTCACGATAAATGATAAAAGAAAATTCACAGTGTATACATTTGTATAGAAAAATAATAAAGAAGTTCAAGAAAATAAACGGAATTAAATATATTACATTTTTCTATATAAATAATTCTAACTTGACTCACTTTATATTGTTGATATCTTGTAGTTTTTATTGCACTACGGAAAAGGCGATGCTGATAGTGATGCGCAGTGACGTTGCAAAGAAATTGAAAATTAATGTTCACTATAAAGCTGTTCGGCAACAAACGTTTGTTCGTTCCAGTGTTTTATATGATACTGAAAGTGTGCGAGATACTCGAAACGACTTTCTGTGTTATTGTATCGTCATATTTACGTTTATTTTCATGTACGTTCGTGTGTTGGTGTGTATCTACCTCGTCTTGTGTGTGTTATATCCTGCTTGCCGAAAAGTGTGTAGGTGTGTATCTGCCCTTATATGTATATGTGTGTTTGTTATAATCCCAAAGAACAAATCCAATCGTATAACATCCACCTAGCGGATTCGCTTTGGGTGCAGCTGATGTCGGCGGAAATTTTTGAAATAATATGCAACTATATACATTTTCTTAATTTTATGTTGAGGCAATTGAAATATTATGTTAGAAAATGGAAACAAGATTGTTCTGCTACATATTTTAAAATTTAAGCCGCTTAAAATAATATCTTATTCAATAATTTACTTTTTAATACAATAATAATAAATGAAGCGGAGCGAAAAAAGAAGAAGGAGTGCTCAGTCGCGTATGTCACCTCGATCTACTAAAGTATTTATCTCGATGTATTTTTCGATTTATATTATATTTAATACAATAAATACAATAAATACATTTAACAAAAAAGACTTTATTTCAAATTTGGAAATTACCAAAGCGTATTCTTATAAATTATTTTCTGCTAATTACGAATCCGGCCGCGAAAATTGCGTATTACGTTAGGTTTTGTAAATATGTAAAGATGAGAAAAAAAGCATTTTAAATACTATTCCGTAAAATATAACTTCTAATTGGGACGTAATAAAAAATGCTACGAGGGCTCAAAATAAAGCTTAAGACTTGTAGGTTGTGCAAATAATGTAAAAAAGTTCGAATTTAGAGTTTTTTGAGAAAACTAAATTAAGAAATTGAAAGTATCATTTTTCGCCCTTTTCCTTATACTAATACAAAGTCTTTAGAGGTATGGTAAAATGGCTCACATTTTTTTTACAAATATGAATATGTCAAAATGTCTTCAATTACTGATAAATAATGATTCAGATTTTTAAAATTAGAAATAGCGGATCAAAGTTTCAAAAATTTAATGTTTGTGAAAATAAGTAGGTAAAGATTTATTTATAACTTTATTTGTAATACGCAATTTTCACGGCCGGATTCGTAATCAGCATGAGAAAATCTATATGTATAAGGTTTAAAAATCTCAGAACCTTTTTGTGTGTCGAACAGTATTATTAAACATATATAATAATTATCAACATTTAACTACGAAAATATTATATCTGCTAAAAAGCAATGCACAAGCAGTGCCTTTCATCTTTATTTATTCTTGCGAAGTATAAATGAGAAAGTATATGTATATAAATAAAAGAACATATATTCTGTTGTATACTTATACATATTTTTAAACAACTATATACATGGATAATTTTTTTTTATTACATTTAAATTCGTGGTCTCGGCTATCGTAAATATATATACAGATTGACAAGCACATGTGCTAATTGTATAAAAACAGTTTATGTAATTATTAATCATTATTTTTACGTAATTAAATACATGTATAATTTCATTTTTGATTGAATTTAAATTCGAGAATCGGTGCTATATAGTAACCTGGCCGAGATTTACGCAGCGTAACTGTCGACGTGTCTTTGCCGGGATTAATGCAGCCATACTTATATTCACGCAATTGAACTTGGAACTTGGAAGCATATGATTATGAAACGAGTTGGACTCGCGAGAAATGATGATTCGCCGTTTCTCGATGACTCTTATTACGAATATCGCCGATAAAGTTACTGATAATAATTTGAGACTTATATATGTAGAGCGCAAATATCAATTTTGTATTTCTTGATTATTTTCTTGTTTATAAACTCACTTGTCTAAGCCAAAATAAGATTGGTGGATAAACAAAAACATAAATAAGGTTATATTTACTTTTTTTTTCTTTCTTGAAAATTCTTTCAGTGGAATTATGGGTCAGTATTGCATGGTTCGATAAGTATTGTAACAACACAGTTATCATATTTCGGGACATTAGTTTATTTTTTTTTCAAAAATAGAAAATGTAAAAATGTATTTAAATAAAGATACATAGAAAAAGAAAAGACATTATATTTTTAAATAAATATATTTTTCATACGTCTGGGGTACGTCTTTAATAAATCTCTGATAACAATTGTAAAATATTTTTTGGGATTACTTTAAAATATTAAAATTAAAAATGTTTAGAAAAATAATATGTATACAGTATACATATCATTTTTCTAAATACTGTATACAGAAAACATATATGTATACTATATAGAGTATACATATATCTATTTTCATATTTATATCCAATAAACAGATAATGCATTAAAAAAAAGGAGGATTCCAAATTGGAAAAACGGTATAGCTTTGGTCATCATTGATAAATCACATTGTTTCCCACTGTCAGTTTTTTGTTACTTTGTCAGTTTTTCTGCATCAATAAGTTTTTTTTTGAGAGCTATTCAATTTTAGTTAAATATCTTCATATTTTATCTCATATATCATATATTATGTGATATTATAGGTCTGTATGAAAGTTTGTTTGGAGTTTTGTGTGATTAGCGAATGGTTCTGTATCAGAAAATTGTTCCAATTTGGTATATCCTTTTGGTAAGTTAAGTCTGTTCTCCCAGTCCCATCGTTGGTTTCCTTTAATAAGAATCTTCATTTGAGGTTTATTATTAATATCTAAATAATCATACGTTGTACCATTTTTCACTGGTATCCACGTAAAATTAGCTGAAGAAGGTGTTGGATTTCTGCAATAAATATGTAATTGATTATTATTACGCGATTGTACGATGTGACAATAAATATTCATTAGAAATGTCAAGTCTATGGTACCCCGTTTTAGCAAAATTTGTCCACATCTGCGTTAAGTATTCCATTATTCTATAATCCGACGTATTATGTGCAAATGGTAACTTATGGTAAGATTGTAATGCATAAGGATAAAATAAATAACCCAGTTCCTCGTAGTGAAGTGTACCTACAAAATATTGTTATGTAAATTAAACTCAAAAGTTGATCATTTTTCCAATACATTAGAAGTGCAATCTAAAATTTATATTTAAATGTACTCTAAACTTCTCTTAATCAAATTTCTCCAAACTACGCGCGTCTTCTTACAATCATATATGGAAAAAAATTTCATATTCACTTTTTTTCCAACTTTATTACTAATTTGATTTTTACATAGTTCTATTTTAATTAACAACGCAATACCTGGAGGCGGCGTTGTAAAGAATATTTTCTTCATAGGAGAGGTATCACTTTTGTACGAAAATTCGTACAAGTAGGCCGACTCGTTAACATTAGAATTCATTTGAGTATCAATTGCTTGTATAATGCCTCTATAGAAATGATGATCGCCGATAAAATCAGAAAGACCAAATATAGTTTCATCTGACACTGTTTCATTACCAAAATACAATGATCGTAATTCCGGTACCGTGATCCCTAGTTGCGGTAATTGACGTAAAACTCTCGGATATATGGCTTTCTCGAAATCAGAATTATATTCTTCAAAAGTCTTGTTCTTTATTTCTGAAACGATTTTAACAATGATTTTAATTTTAATTTTATTTGATTTCATTGATTTTAGTTTAATTTTATTTCTTAATTTTTCTAATGATTTTTTATTTAGATATTTTAAATAAATATTTAACTCTATGTCTTTGAAACAAAACGGTTTCATTAATAAATAATTAATAATTCTGTGTACATTTAAATGTTACATATTGATGAAATCCTGAAACTTATTAGTATTGATCGAATTTATTATAACATTGTGTGTACATCAATATATTCAAAACATTGCAGATCGTATTTTTATGAAAATTTTGCATGAAACAGTGATTCATTATATACTAATAATAATGTGTAGTAATGGAAAGCGAAAGCAGATATATATACTTACGGTTGAAACAAGATGAATTTATGAATGAATTGCCTTCCTGACTATTATATCCAAATATGATTGGTATTGTAATTCCGTTACGTAATAATTGCAAGGGATTTTCTGGTAAAAGAGGATTCGGTGACTCGGAATCCACAGTCGGCGTAAATGCAAGCAAAACATCTAAGCCAATCTGCAAGAACATAGTATTATCAATACAAAAAAAATATTTTATTGTAATCCATCGAATATTATTATTGCAATAATTGTAATAGAGTGGCAAAAAGACCTCCGCTTCTGTCCTTATCAATTTTTTTCCGTCTATGTTTTTCAGAAATTTCAGGGCTTCTTCCGGATCTGAAGTCGCACTACCAAGTTTCTGAGCTAACATCATACCGTTATTGATAGCATCGTCTCGTTCATTGAAAGCCCAAGGAACAGTCGCGGCGCCACTTTGACATATTGCTTTATGAAATAAACCTGTTAAGCACACATTCGCATATAATATAATTGGCACTCGAAGAAGTTTTATATGATTTTATCATGAGACCTTTGCTTTTTTCCTCTTTGACTCAAAATAACACATAAAATTAATCAGCGTACTTTTAATTTTCAATTCTCAATTTAGAATTGATTTTTCTTTATTGAAGGATGTTATCATTTATCTTCCAAGTACATTTTTACGATGTTTTAAAACGTGGATATTATATAGTTTGTAATCGAGGTTTAAGTTAAAATGAAAAAAATCTTTTAATTTAAAATTTTTTGTTATAGCAAAGCTATAAAAAAATTTTCTTTTGTATAAAATGTGTTCTTAAATATTCTTAATATATGCATATCAATATTATGTCCTTTTGATTCGTACCTTTAGCTAACGGTGAAATAGTCAGATAGTGAACCATCACTGCACCCGCATCTTGACCAAAAATTGTGACGTTATGGGGATCTCCACCGAATTGCAATACATTTCTTTGAACCCATTTTAACGCCATAACAACATCTTTTAAACCCTGATTTCCCGTTGCCTTTTCCTTATAAAAATTGAGAAAACCTAAGGAGAGAATGAAAGAAACATGTCGTTAATACGTTTAGTAAAGTTTATTTATATAATAAAGTCTTAAATGTTCGCATTCGCTAATCAATAAAATAAGCAATATTAAATAGTCGACTAGGCTAGCACAAATTAAAATTTATTAAATTTCACGACGGTTTGACCATGTGGTAAAATTTTTTTTTACGTTTTTTAATTGATAAAAACCACAACTACATTGTCGAAACATAATAAGTGAAACTTAATAAGTTTTAATTTGTGCTGGTTGTGTTGACTATTTAATATTGTTTATTTATTTATATAAGTATTATTTAATTGAAAGTTATACTTATTTATATAAGCCGACTATATTTCAACGATTAAATTTCGCGAGATTTTTTAATTACTTATAATTCGACAATTGGTAAAATAAAATTTATGAAAAAAGATAAGAAACATTAAAATTTTTGAAGAAGTTATAAATTATGAGAATTGGTTATTGTTTTAAAATTGATATTTAAAAAAAATTATACATATACGTAAATTATTTGGGTTGTGGAAAGTAGAATGCATGTGTGTGTTTACTTAAAAAAAATAGATCATTGAACGCATTAAGTAATGTAAAATGTTTTCGAGCTAATTAATTATGTACCTAGGACACCTAATCTGTAATTCAGGGTAACGAGTACCACATCCTTCCTCATGATATATTCGGGACCGTAAATGAGCAAGGTGCCGTCTCCCGCAAAAAAGCCTCCACCATGTATCCACACCATTACAGCGCGTTTTTTTACAGGGTTCATGTCGTTGGTATACACGTTCAAATAGAGACAGTCTTCGTTGCCAATGACTATGTCCTCGTTTGTGTTCTGAACACAAATATTTCCGTAAAACAAAGTGCTTCTGTCGCTGGACCATGGTTCTGGTGGTTGCGGATCCTACAATCAGTGTTTGTTATTTAAATAAAATTTGATATGTGGTCAGTTAGATGAAATTGTGCCGCAATCTTATCTTGATATAGATAATGAAAAATATGTAATATCTATATCTGCATCTTAGATGAAAAAAGGGTTATTGTTACTAAATAAATCAGAAAATTTGGTTTGTATTAAAAAATATGTATTATCTATATCTGCATCATAGATGAAAGAAAGAGTTATTGTTACTAAATTAAAGACACGGAAAATATAAATTTCATATACGATTAAATAATAACAACTACTTAAGAAAAACTCTTTTAAAAGACATAGGTTACCTAATTTTGTTTTTCAGCTGTACATGACTTGTCACTTTACAAAGTCAATTTAACTTCTAAACATCTATTTTAATATTTGACATTCTTTAATATGTGTGAAGGGAATTCTATGCAGAGTTCTCATGCGGTTGTGATCTATATTTAATTTAATATAAGATATTGCAATTTGTGATTGAATATATTCTCATAATTGTAATCTTTCAACAAAAAATTATTTGTCTGTAGTTCTCTTGAAAATGACCAAAAGTAATGATCGAAACGTCATGATCTACTTTTATGTAACCATAGCCAATTTGTCGTATATGAATAAAAATAATTTTTATCTTTGGCGATTCAAACTTTTTTATTTGATTAGAAGAATGAATGTATTTTTATATCCTATTTATAATTAAATTTTTTTTATAACTGTATCTATGTAATCAATTTCAAAAACAACCTTATCCCGGAGTTATCTAGATAAATCGTAATGTATTATAATTTTAACTTTTATCTAGATATATTTAAAACAAAATTTATTTAATCTTATCTAAGATAAATTTACATATTTATCTCATCTTTATCTAACTAATTCATCAAACTAATTTAGCTAATTATCTAACTACATTGCCTACAATAAATATAAAATTCAAAGAATTACATCAAATACTTCTAGCAGCAGATACACTTGCAAATACTAAATGAGATTTGAAACGAGATAAGCATTTGTATTTCTCATTATTTTGAATATTTTGATTATCTTCAACAGATTTAATAATAGAAGATATAGATGTCTTGAAAATCTTTGTTGTTTAATCAGAGCCTTTTTAATTTATTATTATAAATCCACATACAATTGAGATCTGTTCTAAACTCAGCGATATCGTTAAGTCATAAATCCTTTCTTCAAAAAAGGCATGTTAACTGAGTGAATTTAATTTTAATCAAAGTATCGAGGGTTCTTTTCCGCGATGGTTGGTTATCTCGAAGCTTGCTTCGCAGCTCGAATCAGAACCTAGTCGTTTGATATTTTTATAGTGTGCAATTAAACTTAATATTATTTTAATTTGCCGAGTACCTATTATGCACATAATTTAGTTTACGTCATCGATTTTTTATTGTGTACAATTCACCGAATTACTATAGCGTGGATAATTTTAAATTGCTCAATATCTATTATGTAAATAATTTATATCGCTGAATTTCTATTACGCACATAATTTTATTGTATACATAATTTATTCTTCAACTTTCATTGTGTATATAATTTTAATTCTTGGATTTCCATTATGTTTTAAACTTTGATGTGCATATTTTCCATTATATACATTTTATTAATTAGCCGAATTCCTGTCATGTACAATTTCAATTATTTACATAATAGAAATATAGCATATTAATTCAGGCCAAAATTATTATTAATTATTTGAAAAATGTTTTTAAATAATTATTAATTATTTAAATGTTTTGCAAGTTTAAAATTTTTTAAAATTTGATTCTAATGAGTTAATGAATGTAGTCGCATTCTTAAAATTGAATATGTAATAACTCTTTGTCCAAAATAGGACATTTAATATGTTTATATAAACTTTTTTGCCTAAGAGGATATGTACAATTATGTCCTAAAATTATGTAAAAGCTCATTCATCCTGTATAACTAGGTTTTATTTCTAATTTTGTAAATGACTGTATCTTTTATATTTTATAAAATTATCCAATAAAGAGTTTGTATCACTTGTCAAAGTTAATTTTTTTACAAAGATAGTAATATTTATAATTATTTTCTGTACTTACTTGAAACCTGAGATCACCCACTGGAGGTTTAGCATATGGTATTCCAGGAAAGGCATTGTAAGAACCATAGATGCTTTTCTTGATTATACCGACTAATGTTCCTTGAGACACATTTACTTTCACTCTGTTCGACGATGCGGCGACGATGACGGATGGCTCTAAAAAATTTATGCTCTGGCTAATTTATTACGAAAATAAGTATTTATATAATAACATATATAGACATTTCCTTATCGTGATCCAAAAGATATGCGATGTCAAAATAAAGTTCGTATCTTCATGAATATGAAGATATTATAAATAATTATTTTGTGTCTTACAAGGAAAACGTCGCTCTTATTAAATATATACATTATAAAAGCAATAAAACTACTATTAACAAATTCTTCGATATTGCAAACAAAATCTGTCTTGTCGCAGATAAAGAATTTTTTTATTTAACAAAATTAATTTTTCTTATAAATCATATTGCCATCTGTGCAACAACTAATATACTTTATTACATAAGATATATGTACAACTATCTCAGCAAACACAGTATATAAATGTTATATACTTAAGCATGTTACATGTAACGTATACGTTAGTTGTAATTTCCAACTCATAGATGTAACATTTTTAATATTACATATATTACATTGTAGTCTAACTAAAATTGAGTAGCTCTGAAAAAAACTCTTTAGTGCAAAAAAACTGACAAACTAACAAAAGACTATCTGTGAGAAATAATGAGATGTATCAATGGAGTTGATTTGGAAACGATTTTTTCTCAGCAAAAATGTTGAGGCACCAATAATTTATTATAAATAATTGAAAAAAATAAGCGTTTCGTTAAATTTTAATTAAGCCTTATTATACCCCAGCAAACACAATATATAAATGTTATATACTCAAGCATGGTACATGTAACGTATATGTTAGTTGTAATTTCCCACTCATACATGTAACATTTTAATACGTATATTATATTTATGACATATATTATATTGTAGTTATATTGTCATTATATCCCAAGATAGCACTGACTTATCAATACTTATCAATGTGCTATTTGGTATATAATTACAATATAACTACAATATAATATATGTTATAAATATAATATACGTATTAAAATGTTACATGTATGAGTGGGAAATTACAACTAACATATACGTTACATGTACCATGCTTGAGTATATAACATTTATATATTGTGTTTGCTGGGGTATAATAAGGCTTAAGTTAAAATTTAACGAAACGCTTATTTTTTTTCAATTATTTATAATAAATTATTGGTGCCTTAACATTTTTGCTGAGAAAAATCGTTTCCAAATCAACTCCATTGATACATCTCATTGTTTCTCACAGATAGTCTTTTGTTAGTTTGTCAGTTTTTTTGCACCAAAGAGTTTTTTTCAGAGCTACTCAATTTTAGTTAGACTTCTTCATATTTTATCTCATACTGTAGGTCTACGTTAAGTTTCGTGTGGTTAACAGATGGTTCTGTACCAGAAAATTGTTCCAATTTGGTATGGTCTTTTGATAAGTTAAGTCTGTTCTCCCAGTCCCATCGTTGGTTTCCTTTAATAAGAATCTTCATTTGAGGTTCATTATCAATATCTAAATAATCATACGTTGTACCATTTTTCACTGGAATCCATGTAAAATTAGCTGAAGAAGGTGTTGGATTTCTGCAATAAATGTGTAATTGATTATTATTACGCGATTGTACAATGTCACAGTAAATATTTGTAAGAAATGTCAAGTCTATAATACCCCGTTTTAGCAAAATCTGTCCACATCTGAGTTAAATATGCCATTATTCTATAATCTGACGTATTATGTGCAAATGATGAAATATTGGGAAATGGTTGTGTATGAGGATAAAATAAATAACTCAGTTCCTCGAAGTGAAATGTACCTAAAATATAGTTATGTAAATTAATCACAAAAGTTAATCATTTTTCCATACATTACAAGTGTAATATAAAATTTATATTTAAAAGTTCTCTAAATTTTTCTTAATCAAATTTCTCCAGAACTATGTTTGTTTTCTGACACTCATATATAGAAATTTAAAGACATTTTACGTTCACTTCTTTTCTATCTTTAATATTAATTTAATTCTTACATAATTTTACTTTAATTAACAATGCAATACCTGGAATCCGACATCTATATAATATTTCCTTTGAAAATGAGGTTTTACTTTCGTACGAAAATCTGTACAAGTAGGTCGACTGGTTAACATTAGAAAACATTTGAGCATCAATTGCTTGTATAATGCCTCTATTGATATGCTGATCGCTGATAAAATCAAAAAGATCCATTTGAGTTCTCCATGACACTGTTTCATTACCAAAATACAATGATCGTAATTCCGGTACCGTGATCCCTAGTTGTGATAATTGATGCAAAATTCTAGGATATATAGCTTCCTCAAAATTAGAATCAATTTTGTCAAAATTCTTTGTCCTTATCTCTGAAACAATTTTAATATCGATTTTATAATTTTGATTTGATTTTATTTATTTTAATTTTTTTTAAATTTTTCTAACGATTTTTTATTTAGATATTTTAATTAAATATGTAACTCTGTTACTTTGAAACAAAACGATTTCATTAAATAAATAATTAATAATTCTTTATGCATTTAAAAGTTACATATTGATGAAATCCTGAAACTTATTAATATTGATTAAAGGACCCCGCACATATCTTATGAAAAATGGCTCTCGGTTAAATTCGCTGAAACTTTGCTACCTTCTAGTTTTTGTTATTTTGAACAAAAGTTCCCCTGGTCATAACATGATTTGACGAGCCGTTTTTGCTCTATAAGATTTCAAGTATTGGTAATAATAGCTCAATCGTATACGTATGTGAAACCATTTTTACTATTTGTAACTACTTTTTTTACTAACTTTTAATCTTTTTACGTTAAGTGTTATAGTATAATAGTGTAGTATTGTATATGTAAGTATTTTTCAGATCCCCACCACGTCCATGACGTTGATTCTGGATAATGCCAAGAGCGGGGGTCACATTTATACACATAAATATATTTACACATACAATACTACACTATTATACTGTTACACTTAACGTGAAAAAGATTAAAAAATTAGTAAAAATGTAGTAACAAGTTTTACATACGTATACGATTGAGCGATTATTACCAATACTTGAAATCTTAAAGAGCAAAAACGGATTGTCAGATTATGTAGTGACTATGGGAACTTTTGTTCATAATAACAAAAACTAGAAGATAGCAAAGTTTGAGCGAATTTAACCGAGAGCCATTTTCCATAAGATATATGCAGGATCTTTTATTATAGCATTGTTTGTATATCAAAATATTTTTAAAATATTGCAAATTGCCTTTTTATGAAAATTTTACATGTAACAATGTCTCATGATATACTAATAATAATATGTAATAATGAAAAGCAAATGCAAATATATATACTTACGGTCATAATAAAAGTAATTTATGAATAAATTGCCTTCCTGGCTATTATGTCCGAATATGATTGGTATTGTAATTCCATTACGTAATAATTGTAATGGATTTTCTGGTAAAAAAGGATTCGATGACTCGGTATCCACGGTCGGCGTAAATTTATACATACCATCTAACAAGTCAGCCTGCAAGAACATATTATCAATGTAAAATAATAATTTATTGTCATTTGTCGAACGTTATTATTGCAATAATCATAACAGCGTGTCAAAAAGACCTTTATTTCTGTCAAATTGCTTCCGTCTATGTTTTTTAGAAATTGCAAGGCAATTTCCGGATCTGAAGTCGCATTACCAAGTTTCTGGGCTAACATTATACCGTTATTGATAGCATCGTCTCGTTCAGTGAAAGCCCAAGGCACAGTCGCGGCGCCACTTTGACATATTGCTTTATGAAATAAACCTGTTAAGCACACATTTGCACATAATATAATTAGCACTCGAAGAAGTTTTACATGATTTTATCATGCGATCTTTGCTGTTTTCCTTTTTGACACAATATAGCACATTAAATTAATCAGCGTGCTTTTAATTTTCAATTCTCAATTTAGAATTGGTTTTTCTTTATTGAAGGATGTTATCATTTATCTTCCAAGTAATTTTCTACGACGTTTTAAAACTAAAATATTATATAGTTTGTAATCGAGATTCAAGTTAAAATGAAAAAAATCTTTAATTTAAAATTTTTGTTATAGCAAAGCTATAAAAAATATTTATCTTTTTGTATAAAATGTGTTTTCAAATATTCTTAATATATGTATATCAATATTATATTCTTTTGATTTGTACCTTTAGCTAACGGTGAAATAGTCAGATAGTGAACTATCATTCCACCCGTATTTTGACCAAAAATTGTGACGTTATCGGGATCTCCACCGAATTGCAGTATATTTTTTCGAATCCATTTTAACGCCATAACTACATCTTTTAATCCCTGATTTCCCGTCGCCATTTTTGTATAAAAATTGAGAAAACCTAAAGAGAGAATGAAAGAAACATGTTGCTAATATGTATAGTAAAGTTTATTTATATAATCGAGTCTTAAATATTTGCATTTACTATTCAGTAAAATAAGGAATATTAAATAGTCGACCAAACCAGCACAAATTAAAATTTATTAAGTATTACGACGTTTCGATCATATGGTTGAATTATTTTTAACGTTTTTTATTTGATAACTACATGGTCGAAACATCATGAAATTAATAAATTTTAATTTGTGTTAGTTTGGCCGATTATTTAATATCCTTTATTTATTTATAATAGTTATATAAATGTATAAAAATTTCAACGATTAAAAATTTAATTTTACGTTATAAGTTATGAGAATTGGTTATTGTTATGAAATTGGTACCTAAAAAAAACATACATATATACGTAAATTATTTGGATTGGAGAGAGTAGAATGCATGCGTATATATTTAGTTTAAAAAAAATTTAATCATTGAACGTAATTAAGTCATATATAAAATTATTTCGGGCTAATTAATAATGTACCTAGGACACCTAATCTGTAATTCAGGGTAACGAGTACCACATTCTTCCGCATGAAATAATCGGGACCATAAAGTTTCGGGTGATTTCATTCTTCCATAAGCCTACACCTTTTATCCACACCATCACGGCGCGTTTCTTTAAAGGATTCATGTCGTTGGTATACACGTTCAAATAGAGACAGTCTTCGTCCCCAATGGTATGGTTCCAGAATATGTCCTTCTGAAGAGAGACGTTTCTGTAAAACGAAGCGTCTCTGTCGCCGAACCATGGTTCTGGTGGTCGCGGATCCTACAATCAATGTTTGTTATTTAAATAAAACTTTATAGATGATCAGTTAGATGAATTTTTGGGGCCATCTTATCTTGATATTGATAATAAAAATATGTATTATCTATATCTGCATCTTAAATAAAAAAAAGGTTATTGTTAATAAATTATTCAAATAATTTGGTTTAGAGTTATGGCATAAAAATAACTAATTACTAGAACTTATGCAATAAGCAATAAAAATTTTGAAGTAAAAGTATGAATATATTTTTATATTCTATTTATAATTTACATTTTTTATTTAACAGTGTTTACATAAGCAATCTTAAAAATAATATTATCTGTAAGTTAGGTGAACAGTCATGTAATTTTACTTTTTATCTAAATAAATGTAAAACAAAATCATCTTAATCTCATACAAGATGAATTTACATATTTATCTTATCTTTATCTAGCTAATTCTAAAATCATCTTACAATAAGAACAACATTGCCTACAATGAATATAATATTCAAAGAATTACATCAAACACTTCTAGCAGCAAATACACTTGCAAATACCAAATGAGGTTTAAACAAAATAAGCATTTGTATTTCTCATTATTTTGAATATTTCGACTATCTTCAACAGATTTACTAATCTGAGATGATTCAAAGGTCTTGGAAATCTCTATAGTTTAATCAGAGTCTTTTTAATTTATTATTATAAATACACATACAATTGCGATTGGTTCTAAAATTGCAATGGTGATATCGTCAAGTTATAAATATTTTTTTATAAGCATGTTAACTGAATGAATTTAATTTTAATCGAAGTATTGAGTGTTCTTTTCCGTGATGGTTGATTGCCGCAAAGTTTACTTCGCGGCATGAATTACAACCAATTCGTTTGACAGTTTTACAGTTTGCGGTTAAACTCAATTAATATTACTTTGATTTACCGAGTTTTTATTACGCACATAATTTTGTTTTTGGCATCGTATTTCTGTTATGTATATAATTATAATTCGCCAATTTACTATTATGTGCATAATTTTAATTTGCTGAATTTCTATTATGTAAATAATTTTAATTCACTGAACTTTTATAACATACATAATTTTATTGTATACATAATTTATTCTTGAAGTTTCATTGTGTATATAATTTTAGTTCTTAATTTTCCATTATGTTTTAATTTAAGTGTGCAAAATTTCCATTATATACATAATATTATTTAGCCGCCTTTCTATTATGTACAATGTCAATTATTTATATAATAGAAATATACGGCAAATTAATTTATGCAAAAATTATTATTAATTAATTGAAAATATTTATTAATTAATATTAATTATTCAAATATATTGCCAGTTTAAAATTTCATAGAATTTGATTCTAATAAGTTAATAAATGTAGTCATTCTTAACAGTGAATACGTAATATCACTTTGTCCAAAATAGGACATATGTTTATATAAACTGTTTTGCCTAAAATAATATGTACCATTACGTTCTAAGATTGTGTAAAAGATCATTTCTCCTGAATAACTAGATTTTATTTCTAATTTTTTGTAAATGACTGTATTTTTTATATTTTATAAAATTATTCAATAAACAGTTCGCATCACTTGTCAAAGTAAATCTTTTAACAAAGTAATATTTATAACCATTCTCCGTACTTACTTGAAATCTGAGATCACCCACTGGAGGTTTAGCATATGGTATTCCACGAAAAGCATTGTAAGAATCGCCATAAACGCTTGCCTCGACGATGCCGACTAATATCCCTTCAGACACATTTACTTTTATTCTGTTCGACGTTTTGTCGACGGTTGGCTCTGAAAAATTTATGCTCTGGCTAATTTATTAGGAAAAATAAGTATTTATAAACATACAGGGTTTGTCCGGAAAGTAATGCGTCGCATTTTTTTAAAAAAGAATTTATTGATCGCATAGGTGAAACAACTTAAAATTGTTCGAAGTATGACCCTTCTGCGTCAATACATTTTTGCCAACGCGATTTCCATGCGTCATAAGATTTCTGGAACTCCTTGACTGGGATGCTGTTCAGGGAGGCCGTCGAAGTAGCTTGTACGTTGTCAACCGACTCGAGCTGTTGTCCTTTGAGCTCCCTTTTCAGCCGAGGAAATAAAAAAAAGTCCGCCGAACGTTGTTCAGGAAATTGGGATTATCTGCACAGAGTTGCTTGAGTTCTTCACAAACTTCCACTCGGTGTTGCTTTTGCGCATCGGTCAACACTCTAGGCACAAGTTTTGCGCAAATCTTCCGCATGGCCAAGTCTTCCGATACAATCTCGTGAACAATCGTTTTCGGCAAGTTCAATAATTCCGACATTAAGCGAACATTCATTCGACGGTCTGAATTCAATAATTGGCGCACACGAGTCACATTGTCGTCCGTTCGCGATGTTGACGGGCGTCCTGCGCGGGCCTCGTCGGCGACCTCCTTCCGACCTTCTCTAAACATCTTGTGCCATCTGTTTGACTGCGATTTGGAAAGGCAATCGTCCCCGAAAACTTTCTTGAGCATTTCAAAAGTTTCCAGCGGCGTCTTGTCCAGCTTCACGCAAAACTTTATCGCATAGCGTTGCTCTATCGTTCTCTCCATCACAAGTTCGACGCGACCACTAAGCAGAGGTTCACAGAATAAGCCGTCCTAACCCTCCAAGCGCATGGAAACAATTGAGCGACCTACCGTTGGAAAGCTAAGGGTACCCCCCTTCCTCCCCAACCGGTCCCATCGCTCTGCGATGTATAGTCGCGTCACAAAAAAATGCGACGCATTACTTTCCGGACAAACCCTGTATATGTCTATATATGTTATACATTCTCTTATCGTGATTCGAAAGGTACGACTCGCACCTAGGCATTTAAAGCTTCCGCGATTTCTAAATTCCACACATGTGCTATTATATACAATATATACCCAGATAGCCACAGTAATTATTATGACATCATTTTGATGTCAAAATGCATCATTTGCCATCAAAATGATGTCATAATAATTACTGTGGTTATCTGGGTAAGAGACACGACAAAATGGTCGCGCACGTATGTGTGTATGTGTGTGTTTTCGAAACATCACGAGTATTGTCGTTCTTTTCATCCCTTTTAATACTTGATCTATGGCGACAAAGGCGACGATAATCGCTGAATTAAACGGAGATGCCAGGCCGAAACGCACCGTCGGTCGCTCATATTCTATTTATACGACGTTGATTCAATCTTCGTTTCGCACTGTGTTCGTTAATTTAGCGAAATATAATTAATCTGCTTTTATTGTCACGCGCGCAGCATCAGTGAGAACGTAAAGGTGTTTTATGAAAACATCTGTTGCGTCTTTAATTGTGTTCTTCGAGGTATGTCCGAGGAATATTGCGGTGTGCACGATGCGCACTAAATAAAAGCAAATTTACGCGCGGAATTGCGGAAACAAATAAAAAGGCGGTCCACGCGCACTGAAACGGCAATACACAAGTCTGCGGAGGAGCTTTCTCGGGCAAGGAGACATAAATAAATTCAATGTGCAATTGACTGTAAAATGGGAAATTTTTAAAATGGGAAATTATTCTTTTCGGTAACAGATCGCGCGACATTTTGTTTGTTTAAATGCTCGTTTTCCGCTGGAAAGCTTCTTGTATTAGAGGGCTTTGTGTGCTTTCTAGTAACGGAACGGTGTTACACAGATCAGGTTACTTTTTCCTTGAGTTATATACCATCTACAGTATTTGCTATTATCTAAATAAAATTATAAGGATTATCATCTAAAATTTCGTTATTTTACCATTAGATAGATAATAAATAATGAGATACAAATTAATTCGACCAAAATAAATATATATATTATCTATATCTGCATTTTAGATGAAAAAATTAAGTGTTATCATTACTAAATTATTTAGAATAATGTTCGGATAATTTGATTGAGAGTCATAGCCAGTGTTTGCTGATCTTTAAATAAAATTATATAAATAATCTAGATAAAATTTTGACATCATTTTATCATTATATAAATAATAAAAATATGTTTTTTCTACAACTGCATCTTATATAAAAAGTGTTATCTTTATTAAATTATCTGGACTATATATTGTTCAGATAATTTTAGGTATAAAATTGTTTCACATAAAGGTAACTATTAAGTAATAAAGCTTAAGTGGTAAGCGATAATAATTTATAAAAATAAAATATAAATAAAATATGAATATGTTATTATATGTATACATATTATAATTTACATTTTTTTATAATTGTGTTTACATAAGCGGTGCTAAAAAATATTATCTGGAAATTATCTAAATAAATCGCCACATAATATTATATTTTAAATAAAATTATCATCATTTTACAATTAGATAAATTTACATATATTTACCTCAGTTTTATCTATCTAATTTTAAAATCATTTAAACACAGCAATGACAATCTGGTAAATAAAAGTCTTACCTGTGTGGTTACCAAAGACAGGTTGATTTAATATTAGAAAAGTTAGAATGCATCTCAGAATAGAGATTAAACATAGGTTTACGTTGAACATTTTTATCTCTATTCACGGATGGCAATATTGTAACACAATCTCGACTAGTGGAGGCTGGCGAGGTCAACGATCTGAAATTAAAAATTGCAGAAGATACTTTTACCATAAAAAGATAGTAAGAAAATGTAATAGTAGATACTAAAAATGTAAAAATATAAACTCTTGTGTATATAGCTGATAGATAAATAATTAAAAAATTTAAGATAATGAACAAATTTAAATATATTACATTTTTATATAAGTAATTCCAAGTGAACTCACTATATACCATGGCATGTTGTTGATATCATGTGGTTCTAATTAAACTACGGAAAAAGCGACGCGGATAGTGATACGCAGTGACATCGCAAAGAAATTGAAAAGTAATGTCCGTTATAAATTTGCTGTATGGGAACTATCTGCCATACAGCAGGTCTGTTATGGTGATTTATATGGTACTGAAAATGTGCGAGAGTCTCGAAACGGCTATCAGTATTATTGTATCGTTATATTTACATTTATTTTCATGTACGTCTGTGTATTGGTGTGTGTCTTCTTCGTCTTGTATTTATTATAACCCTGCTTACCTGAGTACGTATATGTGTGTCTACGGACATGTATGTCTTTATTTTAAAAAGTTTATTTAATTATATTTGTTGTTTTTTCATTATTTGTATTGTATAATTAAAAAATAATATTTTATTCAAATTTATATCATCTTATACTATTTACATTGCAAACATACATTCAAGTAATATCTTCCAATTTCAGCGTGAATAATTGTCTCATATTAGAAAATGGAAAAAATATTGTTTTGCCACGAATTTAATTTTTCTTAATTTTTATGCAAAACAAATTAAATTTTTTTACATATTGTACACTTCGATCATTTTAAACATATGAATTATTATGAAGAAATTTTATTGTCAGGAAATCTGTGATTTTTGGTGCAGCTTGGGGTATAAGAAGACATAAAATTTCATTCGCTATAATTTTTTAAAATATTTTATGTAACTTTTTTTTGGATTTTAAACAAGAAAGAGGATACTCGCGAATTTTGTTGGTTTCACTTATTTGTAAAAAGTCTACGAGTTAAAAAAAATTATTAAAATACTCAAAGAATCATAGGTTTCTAATATAGTTTTTTATATATTTAAAATTATCTTTATATATAAAATATATACTACATATTTTAGTAAAATTAATTTATATCTTATTGTGGTGGATATTAATATTTTTATTTGTGATATAAATATATATTTAATAAATATATTTTCTAATCAAAAAAACTTTATAAAATTCTTAAAATATCATTTTGTACATTTAATTTCACGATAATTTATAAAAGAAAATTCACGGTGTATACATCTGTATAGAAAAATAATAAAGAAATTCAAGAAAATAAACAGAATTAAATATATTACATTTTTCTATATAAATAATTCTAACTTGACTCACTTTATATTGTTGATATCTTGTAGCTTTTATTGCACTACAGAAAAGGGGATGCTGATAGTGATGCGCAGTGACGTTGCAAAGAAATTGAAAATTAATGTTCACTATAAAGCTGTTCGGCAACAAACGTCTGTTCGTTTCAGTATTTTATATGGTACTGAAAGTGTGCGAGATACTCGAAACAACTTTCTGTGTTATTGTATCGTCATATTTACGTTTATTTTCATGTACGTTCGTGTGTTGGTGTGTGTCTACTTCGTCTTATGTGTGTTATATCCTGCTTGCCGAAAAGTGCGTAGGTGTGTATCTGCCCTTATATGTATATGTGTGTTTGTTAAAATCCCAAAGAACAAATCCAGTCGTATAACATCCACCTAGCGGATTCGCTTTGGGTGCAGCTGATGTCGGCGGAAATTTTTGAAATAATATGCAACTTTACATTTTTTTAATTTTATGTTGAGGCAATTGAAAGATTATGTTAGAAAATGGAAACAAAATTGTTCTGCTACATATTTTAAAATTTAAGCCGCTTAAAATTATATCTTATTCAATAATTTGGTTTTTAATACAATAATGAATAGAGCGGAGAGAGAAAAGAAGAGAGAATGCTCAGTCGCGTATGTCACCTCGATCTACTAAAGTATTTATCTCGATTTATTTTTCGATTTATATTATATTTAATACAATAAATACACCATTCAACAAAAAAGACTTTATTTCAGGTTTGGAAATTACCAAAGCGTATTCTTATAACTTATTTTCTGCTAATTACGAATCCGGCCGCGAAAATTGCGTATTACGTCAGGTTTTGTAAATATGTAAAGATGAGAAAAAAAGCATTTTAAATACTATTCCGTAAAATATAACTTCTAATTGGGACGTAATAAAAAATGCTACGAGGGCTCAAAATAAAGCTTAAGACTTGTAGGTTGTGCAAATAATGTAAAAAAGTTCGAATTTAGAGTTTTTTGAGAAAACTAAATTAAGAAATTGAAAGTATCATTTTTCGCACTTTTCCTTATACTAATACAAAGTCTTTAGAGGTATGATAAAATGGCTCACATTTTATTTACAAATATGAATATGTCAAAATGTCTTCAATCACTGATAAATAATGATTCAGATTTTTAAAATTAGAAATAGCAAATCAAAGTTTCAAAAATTTAATGTTCGTGAAAATAAGTAAGTTGATTTATTTATAACTTATATTAAATTTGTGAATTCGATTTTTGATCAAGTTATTTAAAAAATCTGGCGTAATACGCAATTTTCACGGCCGGATTTGTAATCAGCATGAGAAAATCTATACGAATAAGGTTTAAAAATCTCAGAACCTTTTTGTGTATCGAACAGTATTATTAAACATATATAATAATTATCAACGTTTACCCACGAAAATATTATATCTGCTAAAAAGCAATGGACAAGCAGTGCCTTTCATCTTTATTTATTCTTGCGAAGTATAAATGAGAAAGTATATGTATATAAATAAAAGAACATTCTGTTGTATACTTTACATATTTTTAAACAACTATACACATGCATAATTTTTTTTTGATTGAATTTAAATTTGTGGTCTCGGCTATCGTAAATATGTATATACAGATCGACAAGCACATGCGCTAATTGTATAAAAACAGTTTATGTAATTATTAATCATTATTTTTACGTAATTAAATACATGTATAATTTCATTTTTGATCGAATTTAAATTCGAGAATCGGTGCTGAGAACTGTCGACGTGTCTCCGCCGGGATTAATGCAGCCATACTTATATTCACGCAATCGAACTTGGAACTTGGAAGCATATGATTATGAAACGAGTTGGACTCGCGAGAAAAGATGATTCGCCATTTCTCAAAGACTCTCATTACGAATATCGCCGATAACGTTATTGATAATAATTCGAAACTTATCATGTATGTAGAGCGCAAATATCGATTTTGTATTTCTTGATTATTTTCTCGTTTATAAATTTACTCCTCAAAGCTAAAATAATGGTAGATGGAGAAAAAACAAAAATAAGGTTATATTTTCATTTATTTTCTTTCTCGAAAATTCTCTCATTGGAATTATGATTCATTCGATAACAGTATTGTAGCAACTCAGTTATCATATTCCGGGACATTAGTTTTTTTTCAAAAATAGAGAATGTGAAAAAAAACATTTTATTTTTAATATTTTATTTTTAAAAGAATATATTTTTCATACGTCTGAGGTTTAATAAATCTTTGACTAAGGATTGTAGAATATCTTTTGAGAATGTAGATTCCTTCAAAAATATTGAATGTAAAAAATATTTAGAAAAATAATATATATACTTTATATATATTATTTTTCTAAATACTGCATACAGTAAACATATATGTATACTATATATATATATATATATGTATATATATATATGTGTGTACAAATTTGTATCTAATAAACAGATAATGCGTTTTAAAAAAAAGAGGATTCCAAATTGAGAAAAGAATTTCGCTTAGGTCATCATATTGATACATCACATTGTTTCCCATTGTCAGTCTTGTTTGTTTGTCAGGTTTTTGCATAAGTTTTTTTAGAGCTATTCAATTTCAGTTAGATTTCTTCATATTTTATCTCATACTATAAGTCTGTGTGAATATTATGTTCTGTATCAAAACGTTGCTCCAATTTGGGATATTCGTTTAATAAATTAAATTTGTTCTTCCAATCCCATCGTTGGTATCCTTTAATAAAAATCTTCATTTTAGGTTTATAATTAATTTTTAAATAATTATATACAGTTCCATTTTCCACTGGAGTCCATGTAAAATTAGCTGAAGAAGGTGTCGGATTTCTGCAATAAATGTGATATTGATTATTATTACGCGATTGTACGATGTGACAATAAATATTTATTAGAAATGTCAAGTCTATGGTACCCCGTTTTAGCAAAATCTGTCCACATCTGCGTTAAGTATTCCATTATTTTATAATCCGACGTATTATGTGCAATTGGTAACACATCGATAAATTGTCCTATAAGAGGACAAAATAAATAACCCAATTCCTCGAAGTGAGATGTACCTACAAAATATTGTTATGTAAATTAATCATAAAAGTTGATAACTTTATCAATATATTAGAAGTGCAATCTAAAATTTATATTTAAATGCACAATAAACTTTTCTTAATTAAATTTTTCTGAAACTACGTGCGTCTTTTTACAATCATATATAGAAATTTAAAGACATTTAATTTCACGTTTACTTCTTTTTTAACTTTAATGTTAATTTGATTTTGACGTATGTAGTTCTACTTTAATTAGCAACGCAATACCTGGAAGCGGCTTTTTAAAAAACATTTTCTTCACAGGAGAGGTTTCACTTTCGTACGAAAATTCGTACAAGTAGGTCGACTGGTTAACATTAGAATTCATTTGAATATCAATTGCTTGTATAATGCCTCTATAGATATATTGATCGCCGATAAAATCAGAAAGAGCCATTATAGTTTTTTCTGACACTGCTTTGTTACCAAAATACAATGATCGTAATTCCGGTACCGTGATCCCTAGTTGCGGTAATTGACGTAAAACTCTCGGATATATGGCTTTCTTGAAATCAAAATTAAATTTGTTTAAAGTCTCGTTGTTTACCCCTAAAAATGATTGAATAACGATTTTAATTTTAATTTAATTTAATTTAATTTAATTTAATTCATAATATAATTTAATGAAAAGCATAAGCAAATATATATTCTTACGGCCGACAATATCACTTATGAAAATATTGCCTTCTTGGCTATTATATCCAAATATGATTGGAATTTTAATACCATTCCGTAATAATTGCAACGGATTTTCTGATAAAAAAAAATTCCATGACGCGGAATCCACGGTCGGCGTAAATGCGGGGAAAACATCTAAGTCATTCTGCAAAAACATAATATTCTTAATATAAAAAAATAGTTTATGTTAATTCATCGAACATTTATTATTGCAATAATTGTAATAGAGCGTCAAAAGACCTCCGCTGCTATCAATATTCTTCCGTCTATGTCTTTCAGAAATTTCAGGGCTTCTTCCGGATATAAACACACATTACCAAGTTTCTGAGATAACATCAGACCGTTATGGATAGCATCGTCTCGTTCAGTGAAAGCCCAAGGAACAGTCGCGGCGCCACTTTGACATATTGCCTTATGAAATAAACCTGTCAAGCACACATTTGCACATAACAGAATTGGCACTCGAAGAAGTTTTATATGATTATATCATGAGATTTTAATTTTTTTTTTTTAAATTAATATAACACATAGAATTAATACACATAAAATTTTTGATATAGCAAAGCTATATAAATTTTTTATTTGTTTGTATAAAATATGTTCTTAAATATTCTTAATATATGTATATCAATATTATGTCTGTTTGATTCTTACCTTCAGCTAACGGTGAAATAGTCAGATAGTGAACCATCACTCCACCCGCATCTTGACCAAAAACTGTGACGTTATCGGGATCTCCACCGAATTGCAGTATATTTCTTCGAATCCATTTTAACGCCATAACTACATCTTTTAAGCCCTGATTTCCCGTCGCCATTTCCTCATTAAAATTGAGAAAACCTAAAAAGGGTATAAAAGAAACATGTCGTTAATACGTTTAGTAAAGTTTATTATCAAGACTTACATATTCGCATTCTCTAGTCAGTAAAATAAGAAATATTAAATAATTGACCAAACTAGCACAAATTAAAATTAATTAAGTTTCAAGACGTTTTGACCTAGTGGTTGAATTTTTCTTAACGTTTTTCACTTTTAAAAAATCATAACCACATGTTCGAAACTTTGTAAAACCTAATAAATTTTAATTTGTGTTAATTTGGTCGATTATTTAATATTCCTATTCTACAAAAAATTTTACATCATGAAAAATATGTTAATAAACGAAAAATCGCGGAGATGTTTTATATCAAAAATTTGACAACACAATTAATTTACAAAGAGACACGGATAATCTAAATAATGTTTACGAGAAATTAATAAAAGTCGTTTAGTTTGATAAGGAGCTTAAAATCGTTACGACAACGCAGTTATTTCGCCTTCATACTATTATATCATGTTATATTCTCAGATCGAATTATTGTTTTTTAAAAAAGTTGTGATTTATTTTGTTTTAGGAACATAGGTATGTTTGCGTATTAACGTGTGAAACTCTCTATATATTTTATAATTTCCTTTTAGTCATAATTGTTAATGTTATGTTACAGCATTTGATAGAAGCTGAAACCCACGGCCGAAACGTTGTGAAATTTAATAAAATTCTTTTTTTGCCAGAATTGGTCGATTAAATCATTACCATTTTTTATAATTCCTATTTTATTTATATAAGTTATATAAATATATAAATTTCAAAGATTAAATAAATTAATTTCACGAGTTTTTTTAATTACTTATAATTCGACAACTATTTAAAAAAAAAAAATTTATGAAGAAAATTATAAAACGTTAAATTTAAAAAATATATTATAAGTAATAAGAATTGGTTATTGTTTTGAAATTGGTATTTTAAAAAAACCATACATACACGTAAATTATTTGGATTGTGGGAAGCAGAATGCGTCCTATGTGTTTACTTAAAAAAAATAGATCATCAAACGCAAATAACAAAAAATGATTTCGAGCTAATTAATAATGTACCTAGAACACCTAATCTGTAATTTAGGGTGACGAGTACCACATCCTTCCGCATGATATAATCAGGACCGTAATAAACCGAGGTGCCGTCTCCCATAAGAAAGCCTCCACCATGTATCCATACCATCACAGCACTTTTTTTTGAAGACGTCACATTGTTGGTATACACGTTCAAATAGAGACAGTCTTCTTTTCCTATGACGACTAAGTCTATTCTGTCCATCTGAAGACAGATGTTTCCGTTATTCGAAGCGTCTCTGTCACTGGGCCATGGTTCTGGTGGTTGCGGATCCTACAATCAATGTTTGTTATCTAAATAAAATGTTATAAATGATCAGCTAGATAATATTTTGGCGACATCTTTTTTTGATATAGATAAAAAATATGTATTATCTATATCTGTATCTTAGATTAAGAAAAAGATTATGGTTACTAAATTATTCAGATAATCCGGTTTAGAGTCATAACATAAAAATAAACAATTACTAAAACTTAAGATATAAGCCATAAAAATGTAGACATAAAAGTACGAATAATTTTTTATATCCCATTTATAATTTACACCTTTTTTTATAATTGTGTCTACATAAGCGATTCTAAAAACAATATTATCTAAAAGTTATCTAGATAAATCGCCATGTAATTTTATTTTTATCTAGATATAATAAAACAAAATCTTCTTAACCTTATCTAACAAGGGACATGTCACAATTGTCCGCAATCGATTTGATTCTTCTTCAAATATGTTGTTAAATACATAATCATAAATCAAAAAATTAGATTTTTAAATTTTAAAATTATTTATACATTATAAAATAGACAAATTATTTATTGTATATATTTAAAAGAGAAGAAGAAGGAGGGAGAGAATGGAAAATGGTGGTAGAGAGAGAGAGAGAGAGAAAGAGAGAGAGTGAGAGAGAGAAGAAGAGAGGGAGAAGTATCTATACAGTTTTCTTCGACTAATTATTTACGTAATGTAACATTTCTACCATTCTCAATTGCAACATTTTATTCCTATTTGTTCGAGACACCGTGTAGCCGTTGAGAAAGAAAATGTTCGTTCTTAGAATAGCCGATAAAGAGAATTGACGTCGTTTGAACTTTTCGACACTCTTTAGAGTCGTTGGTCGAATGTTGCGTTATGCTATTTAAAATAAAAATTTAATCTGTATTTACAGAATAAATTATATATCATAAAGTTGACAGAAACTAAAAAAGGCAAATTAGAGAAATTTTGAATTTGATTTTATTTTAATTATCTGTAATTGAGATTGTTTTGCAATTGCAAACTAAACTTTTATTGTGAAATATCTGATTTTTATATAGTATTGTATAATAACACGACTAAATATGATTAAGCTGAATATATATTATGTAAGAAAATCTTTATAATTGTTTGGATGCTTAAATGCAGAGCACTAAAAATTTTTTTTAATTTTTTGTGAGGGAATTACTGCAATTTTTTCTGTTGTTGTCATTTAACTAGTATTAAAAATTAATATTAGGAGAAATAAAATAAACTTGAGGAAAAATAAAACTAACTTGAGGAAAAATATTACTATTAAAAAAAATAATACTAATCTTATCAATAACAATACTAATATTAAGAATAATAAAATTAATATTAAGGAAAACAAAACTAGTATTATAAAAATTAAACTAATATTAAGAAGAATATTACAAATATTAGGAAAAATGTAATTTCTGTAAGTTCTAAAGTATTAAAGTTAATATAAAATTGAGAAATGTGGCGCGCGCTCGTAACACTTTTGTTGTTCCAGTATTTAAAAAATTAATGAAGTAATGAATTATCGATTCATTATTTTTGTCTACCTCTATTCGATATTGCATAAGGTCACGAGTTGATATTATTCTCCTAATTTTTTAAAAGTTTCTAGAAGTTATTATATTTTAAGAGTGCGTTTTTTTCTATAAAGATAAAATTTAAACGAAGTAACTACATTTTTCACATTTCTATATTTCCCAACTTTCGAAAAGTAGGGAGGACTGGGACTGAATGTTACAGGAGTTAAATGTTACACTTATAATAAAATAGTTAAATAAACCGTCTATAAAAACGCTAGAAAGCGCTAAATGTTGGCAATATCGACTACTGCGTATTATATATTAAACGCGTTATCGACATCGCCTAACGCTTACATGTATATCGTAGTGAAAAATAGCAGGTTTGTAACTTTTTATTTTATTTGTAATTTTGGTCTCATTTTCTTTATATTGATATTGTAGAAATGGTTTTGCATTGTATGTTTATTTTATACAATTAAGATTTATGAAAAGTCAGAGTTATAACGCAAAAATTCTGTCAAATTTTTTAATTGCGTCTCAAATGTTCAATTTTGATTACAATGTTAAAAGTTTGAAATATGTATTATATTTGCAGAAATTGTGATTCCGATAATGATTCTGTTTAATATCTACTTGTGATTAATATATATCAAATCGATTCATTTTGTTTTTAGAGTTTAATTACAATGTTCAATAAAACATTTGTAAACATGTTAAGTTTTCTTAATTAGTTTAAGAAGAGGTAAAACAATTTTTGTTTTGACAAGTTATTTTTGTATTTTGTTTGAAAAGTATATTGTGTTAAATTGTTAAATTTGTTTATATCAATTAATAATAAAAGACTGCTTGTATGATATAAGTACGTTAATTGACATTATTAATGTTTAAGTAAAATAAATCATTCAAATAATGGAACTGTTGCTGTCATTTTTTACTTCGTATGGTGTCACAACTGACCCCAGGGTCGGGGTGAAAGTTACACTGGCAAATTTCATAAATACATTTAATATTTCTTAGTTGCACGAACTCTATTCTTGCGTTCTTTATCGCATTTTAAAGTTAAATAATAATACATTTCATAACCGTAACATAAAAAAAAACATATTGTTTAGATAAAATGTAGCATTAAATTTTCTCAAAAATGTCATAACCAACCCCAGTCTTCTCTACCTGTCGCGATGATGTATAGAACGTCGCACATGGCAAGAAACTTTGGAATATACAAACAACAGCTATGAAAACTTTGGTTTGCATAAGTTTATCGTATTGCGTATCATGTACGCGTTTATTTCCTTAAAGCCATATATTATGTAGAAAAACTTAACCGGTACAACTTTGTAAGCAATCAATTAATCCTCTTAAGAATGGCAGATTGGAACAGTGATTGATCGATTTGCTTTATCGCTTAAGTTCTATGGCTCAAGTGTTTTTACACGCTTTAGTTACAAAAACAATGCAATGAGAAGATTAATTAATACTAAAAACGGATCGTTTAATTACACACGACACGTTTGCACTTCAGAGTATTTATATAATTGTACATTGCAATTATAATGCATTTCTTATAAATTATAAACGTAAAAAATTTTTCTTTTATCACAATAATGAGAAACTATTATTATTTTTTAACAATTTATGTATATACAAGATTTTCAGAAAGAATGGTAAGCATTCTACGACTTGATTGTATACATCATTGCAAGCAAAACAGTTTAAATAAAAATGTGTCCTATTCTGAACTGTTATGAAGATATAATGTTCAAGTTTAAGAACAAAGATATTTGTTAACTTAATAAAATTAAATGCTATGAAAGAGTTATATAAAATTTTTGTAAACATTAGTATACCTTCGATAAGTCTTGTGTTAATTTCAAATTTTTGGTTCCTGATGTAACTAAAATGGTTCATATTAATTCATGCCAAAATTATTATTAATTAATTGAAAAATGTTTATTAATTAATATTAATTATTCAAATGTTCTGCAAGTTTAAAATTTCATAAAGATTCTAATAAATTAATAAATGTAGTCATTCTTAAAACTGAACACTAGTAATATCTTTGTCCAAAATAGGACATGTTTATAATAATTTTTTTGTTTAAAATAATATGTACAATTATG